GAAATCAAGTGAGTCGCTTTAATACAAACCCACAAAGCAACTGGAATAATTCTTTATGTGTTTTCAGTGAAAGCTAAGACAGGAAAATATAAGAACTGTTGGTTATGTACTTGTGGTAAAGTGAAGCCCATTTAGTGTTAGCCATTAGAATTGTTAATTTCTTGTTCCCTGTGTGGTGGTTTGTTTTTTTTCTATTTAATCTGCTGCATTGATCTATATCTAGAAAGATGATATCTTTGTATAATTTCTTTTTTGTATGTTCAAAGGAAAACAAAAACACAGAACCTGACATCAGCCTTACGCAATTTCTGATATACGTACTGCATACAGATTGCTATATAGAGAAAGAGCTAATTTAATTGCATACAGAAAATTGGAAGTAGTTTATTGTACATAGGGGCTGCTTGTATGTTTTGTTCTAAAGGCAGATAGGAAGCTGTGAATAAGCCAAAAGATGTGTGGAGCAGAGACCCTCGTGTTGTACAATAACTGCAGGGTGCCTCATGTACTGGAGCCCGGGTGTTTGTGTGATGTGAGTAGCAAGAAGAAAACAGCGGTGTGAAGAGGTCTTGAAGTGATGCTACTTAGTACGTCAGATTTCTTCTTGTGATTAAATTGAATGTTCTTTTGGAGAGGAGAGTGTTCTTGCCTACGAATCCCAGAATAAAGGCCACTTGTCTTGAAAATGTTCAGTAGCCTCGCAGTGTGGCCGGTACTCTGTCCTCAAGTTAGTCTTTCTGTGGATATGTATTTTTCAAAATCCTCATGTGGGATCTTTGAAAATTCTTTCTGCTCTGTAAAAGCAGGTCACTCTTGTTTTCTGTATGTTCTTTCAAGGAGTGTTAAAAAGTTTGAAAACTGACTGTTGTCTGCAAGTTAAACTTTATTATGCTAAAGTTAAAAGAAAGTGGTAAATTAAGACGTCTACAGTGTGTAAGACTTTATTTAATCTTTCCTGTGAGTGTTTATGCCATTAGCATGGAGCTACGTAGTCTAGCATGTGGTTTTGAGAGTACCATCTGGTTTTAACTGAAGTATCTGTGTATAGCTAGAAGTAATCCTTCGATCACAGTCCTTTGTAACCCTTTTTCATTCTCTGCATAGCCCTTGACTGCAGGTAGACCAGCAGAAAGATGATTAATTGCACTCTTTAAGACCGTTTACCATGCAGCTGAAAGAAGTATGATTGATCTGCAGCCTCTTAATCTGAATAAATTCCATGTCTGATTATATTATATACCAAGTCAGTGATTTTAACAGCGTGAGAGTCCTTCACTCCTTGTCCACTCATACTGAATGTGCCTCTACCTTATTACCTGGCAATATAAATTAGATACAGATCAGGTGCAGTCACATAATAATATTTCTATTGAGTCACCTGGGGCATATGTCATGGCATTTATCTTGGCTTTAGAAAGAAAATGATATCTGATCTAGCATGAAATCTGCCGTAGAAAATTACCAGTTTGAAAACTGTGGAAAAAATATTTATCAATAGATTGTCCCAATTCATGGCTTTCTGTTGTGCATTTGTGGCATTTTTGACCCAGTGTTAGGACTTTATGGAAACCTGGACTGACATTTAGTTTGGCTGAGCAGTTGGAGAACATCTGGATTTTGTAGCTATTCCACAGTACCTCATGGGGTGCTGTGAGACTAAAGGAAAGTGCTAAGCAGCAGTACCAATATGTTTTCTGGGTGTTTTTTTTGAAGAACAGGTAATTGCAAGGTTCGCGTTAAATTCATTGGAGCTTCAGGAAGGTAACAGGTTGCTGTTTGCCAGCAAGTTCCTGGAGCAGGCTGTTCGCCTCTTCAGCTCTGCAGTGAAACTTGGCTTAGTTTTATTTTACGGGAGACAAAAATCAGACTACAAAGTGCCTCTTTGCTGCTTGAAACAGAAAATGCCACAGGCGTTTCTCTTTCTCACTGGCTGTGTCTCACACCATTTTTCTACGTGGGCACAGATGTTTTCAGTAGCTGTAGACTGTGTGAGCCAGGATAAACTTTGCTGTACCAGTAAAGAATATTGCTGCAAAATTAAAGAATGTAGATTCGTCCTGATGTGTCATGAGCATATGAAGAAAAAAGATATAAAATTCTTGTATGTGAATACTTCTTTAGTATGCGGCATTGGAACAGTAAATGATTTTTCCTTTAACAAGTCACTGTTTTGCTAGACACTGAGACTACTGTAGGTCTTTAAGATGATGTTGTCCCAGTGACTGCTGAATCCTTATTAGAAAGAAAGGGGTTTACAGGAAGTAGTAGCTTCTATTAGAGTGCTTTCAGCTATTTCCTTTTGAAAAAAGTCTGTAATTTCCATATCACTTGAACATCTTACAGTTAGTTTTAAATAGTCAGATGTGAGATTGTCCTTACTGCCTCAGGTCTGTATTCCATCTCTTGATATGCCACGGTACTTCTACGTCTAATAGCATGTGTGTAGGGGGGAAATTGCTCCAATCTCACATTTGTTGTACTAATGTGTCATGTTCAGTCTTTATAAAAAGCCATCATAGAAAAGACAGTTGTAATTGCTGAATGGTGGGGGGAAAAAACCTGTGATCTGCAAATCTGTGTGATCTGCAAAGCATTTTACTCTGTGCTTATAACTGATTGAGTTGGATTCTTGCAAGGAAAAGTAGATGTGTCTAGAACTGATACACTGCGGTGAAGCAGAGAAGGTAGAGAAGTTCCTCGTTCCTCTGGGGCTAAACTGAGAAGCTTGAAGTGCCTCACCAGGGCCGGATACACGGACATATGGGCTGAGTTGGGAGCTTCTCTCTGGGGCAGGCAGCAGGCCACCTTGTGAAGTCCCGGGGAACAGTGCACTCATACAAGCATTCAGATTTACAGGTGTTCATCAGCAATAGCACCATATATCAAAACAAACGCTTAACCTTTTGACTTCATAGAATAAATGTTGTTTGTCATCTTTAAGATTGCCTAGTCTTTAAGGAGAACCGGGATAACTCTGCTGAGCACTGGACACCTCCTGGCATTACCATCTCCAGAAAAAATAAGTGCTGTTGTTGCTGCATCCAGGTGCGCATGCATCATCACACCTGGGACACATCTGGGAGTCTGAGGAGCGTAAGCGTGCGGCACAGCGGCAGCAGCAAGGCATTGAGGCTGGCCTTAGAAGTGCCAGCTGCTGGGGTCTAGTTTACCTGGCAGTAGTCAGCTAGTACTTTTTTGGCCAGAGAGTGGAGAGGCAGGCTGTGATTTCAGCTACCACTACATTGATGGGAAAAGAAGAAAACCAGGTCTGCTTGGAAAGATCACTTCCAGCTTGTTGGTTGATTACATAGGTGCCTTTACTGTCCATCATGAGCCTAGATCTCCAATGCTGCAGGTACCAAAACCTTTGTAACTGAAGGAATTTGTGTGTAGGTGAGTCACTGTCACTGGAGGATCGGTGGATGTATCAGGTTAAGCAGGGCTGCTTGTTTCTGTCCCTGCACTGACCTCTGCTTTGTGCAGCCGTTTGGGGAAGTGGGTTGGGGAGCTGGTTTGGTTTTTCCTCCAGCTAAAAACAAAATTAGCACAGCTAAAACACAGAAGTCTCCAACACCTCCCAGCCAGATCAGTGTGCTCTTCCGTGTACTGACCAGCTGCACAAAGACTTTTCCCAGTACAGTGGCGGGAATGCATGATGGGAGGCAGTGACAGGGCTGTGGTTTGCTGCTCAAAGTGTCTGAGGTTCCCAAACTCTAAGCCTTCCCTTCACAGCACCTTTTAGTCTCTGAGTCATAATTGCCTAACTTCTCATCATTGTGCTTGGTTGGTTGGTTTTGTTTTTTATTTCCCAGAGAGATGATAATTTCTAATGAATATTTAAAAGTATAGTTTTCCCTAAAATTACTGAAACTCTTTAGTTTAAGAATATGATGCTGATCTTTTTTTGCCTTTCATGATTGGATTATAGTACTTAAGATTCAAGGTATTATAAGATTTTTCCCTCATTTGGGAAATTTGGGACTCTACACCAGCCTTATTTTTGTGCTACATTACTTTTTTTTTCTCTCCCTAACAGAATATATATATATAACAGCTTGAGAAGTGAGCCTGTGTGAACATCATGAGGTTCAAAAAGGTCAAGTGCAGGGTCCTGCACCTGGGCTGGGGCAACCCCCAGTATCAGTACAGGCTGTGAGGCAAATGGATTGAGAGCAGCACTGCCAAGAAGGACTTGGGGGTGCTGGTGGGTGAAAAGCTGGACATGAGCCAACAATGTGTGCCCGCAGCCCAGAAAGCCAACCATATCCTGGGCTGCCTCAAAAGAAGTGTGGCCAGCAGGTCGAGGGAGGTGATTCAGCCCCTCTACTCAGCTCCAGTGAGACCCCACCTGGAGTACTGCGTCCAGCTCTGGAGTCCCCAACATAAGAAAGACATGGACCTGTTGGGAGTGGGTCCAGAGGAGGGCCACGAAGATGATCAGAGGGCTGGAGCACCTTTCCTATGAGAACAGGTTGAGAGAGTTGGGGTTGTTCAGCCTGGAGAAGAGAAGGCTCCAGGGAGACCTTATAGCAGGCTTTCAGTGCTTAAAGGGGGCTTACAAGAAAGATGGAGACAAACTTTTTAGCATGGCTTGTTGCGATAGGACACGGTCTAGTGGTTTTAAACTAAAAGAGAGGGTAGAGTTAGGCTAGATGGAAGGAAGACAGTTTTTACAATAAGAATAATGAAACACTGGAACAGGTTGCCCAGAGAGGTGGAAGATGCTCCATCCCTGGAAACATTCAAGGTCAGGTTGGACTGGGCTCTGAGCAACCTGATCTAGTTGAAGATGTCCCTGTTCATTGCAGAGGGGTTGGACAAGATGACCTTTAAAGGTTCCTTCCAACCCAAACCATTCTATGGTTCTATATTGTCTACTATATATATGTCATACTGTATTCTGAAGTGGTCAAGGTACAAGCATTTAAAGTATATACACATAAACAATTTATTTAGAATTTTAAAATCTGCTTTTCTTGAAATCTGTGTTCTTTTCTTAGGTCCCCAAATACTTGTCACAACAGTGGAATAAAGCTTCAGGAAGAGGTGAAGTGGGAAAACTAAGGATTGCCAAGTAAGCCTTTACTGTACCTTTATTGGTTGCAATTCTTAGAAGTTACCTGCATTAAAATAGTTTATGTTGCACGTCTTATAATGCATAATCCTGTTTCTTGCAAATACAGTGCATATTTCTCTGATACCTGAATGGTACTTGCTTGTATAGTGATTATGAATATAAATTATGTGAAATTGTTCTGGGGAGTGGCTGTATCCCTTTACACGATGTTTGATTTCTTAAACCTAAGAAATATGCACATCTAACTGGAGAATGTTCCTTAACTTACATGTGCTATTTTGCTGCTTCTGTTCTCACCTGCTGACTTTTCCCATTTATTCTTGGGCATCAGCATAACAAAAAAATTTGAGCAGCTCAGGACTGAAGATGAATAACAAAACTAGAATTTGAATTTGCTTTTTTATTAAAAAAAAAGGAAGGGAAAAAATAGAAATAAAAAATGGAAGCTAAACTTGTGGAATTAGATTATGGAAACTAAAACATTAAATATTTTCTTTTGCAGAAATCAAGGAAGAACAGAAGTAAGTAATTACTAAATACAAAGGCTGTGAATGTGTTAGATTTTGGATTTTTAAAATTGTTTAGAATATGCTGGTTTCTCATGTCTCATATTTTTTGTTACACCTGTAATGAAACGTTGTACCACAGAATCAGGAGGAGAGAATTCTGTTCATAGTTCTGCCCATAGATTTACTGTGGGACTTTCATCAGGTCTCTTCGTTCCCTAAATTTGTTTACCCATCTGGAAGCAGCAAGTGTAGTAGCCACCTTCTCTAAACATTTTGAGATGTGTCAGTGCAAAAGGCTGGCAAGGGATTCTGGTTGCCCAGTCCCCCCAGTACCTCCTCAGCTCATGTATTGGGCATACAATGTAAATATAGCAAAGGAGATGTATTTGAACCTCTCCTGGGCTGCATGCAATTCAGGAGTCCCCGGGCTGGTAACACTTGCCGTGGTACATTGGCACCTTTTCTAGGACTTAGCCGGCTGTGTGAAGCATTTTAAAGCACTCTTACTGAACAGTGTCTGAAAACCTATTATGCCTTGCATTTTAATAAGTAAAATCAAATTGTTCTTTAACTTCAGAAGGAAGTAATTTACAATTTTTTAAAAGATGGGTAAATTTTATTAAGTACATGAAAGCATTGAATTCTCTATTTCAACAAGAGATCAATATAGTAAGACTCTTATCCTACCCTTTATGTTTTTGAAATGAAAATGTGCTATACTACTTGTGCTTTCTCTCTTTGTTTTCCCATAACTGGTAAAGCTGTGTAATTTAGTCTGTTTAGTAACGCTGTGGTAATTGTGACTGTTAGGTGTCATTTACTTTGAATGAAGAGCTTGCAAGCATCAATGATATTGGAGGAAAACCTGCTTCAGTCAGTGCACCGAGGGAACATCCATTTCTTTTGCAAAGTGTGGGAGGACAGACCTTAACAGTGTTCACAGAAAGTTCAGTAGGTAAGTTAGAATTAAAGTTATTTGTTACAATTCTAGTATACATAATTTCAATAAACTGAATGCTGTAAAAGGCCAGAAGACTCAGAAATCAGATTTTGGCTCTGTTTTGTTGTTATCTGCATACATAACACTGCTGTACTTTTTTTGTGTCTGTCTCTTTTCTTCGTATGATTGAACAACTAATTTAAGTTCTCCACGCAGAGTTATGGTGTACCTTTCAGCTGTGGGCCTGCTGAAGAGAGCAAAGAGAGCGTGGAGTGCAGTACATTGTGTATTCCCCTTTAGGCTTTTCACTACAAAAACCATGTTTGTGTTCCCATGAACTTTTTGGGATCAACTGATTTTTTTTTTTATTTTTTTTTTCTCCTTGAATTGGTATCTGCTTTGAATATAGTTTTATATGAATGCTGATTCTTCCTCTGTCCAGTTGAACAGATCCATTTTACCAATAAACGCATCTGTTCACCCCATTTTCTTGAAGTGTGCGTACGTTTTAAGTGTATTAAAGCTTAGTAAGGTCATAATACCAAATAGTGCAGCAGTAAGGTTATAATTTTTCACATTGGATTTTTAACTGTTTGGCCTGCCTTAAGTTCAGCTCAGTAGCTGTATAAATGATTAGGATATTCAAGATCATATGTCCTAAATTGCATGTTAGACTTGAGGGACATAGTAGTGTTACACAGTACAATTGAGTTCAGCAGACTACCTTGCATGGAACTCCCGTGTGCTGTAAGGTTTTCTTCTGAAATTACATGGTCATGTTCTGGATGTTAAAGAGAGGAGGATGGTGTCTGCAGAGCATATCTCATTGTCTGCAGAAGGTATCTCACTTTCAGGTACTTAGGTTTTGGTGTCCCCAGAAAACAAGTAATAGTAATATTTTTTGATACCTCTGGCTTCCGTGGGGCAGAAAAGCTACAGCGTCACCGGCTTCTGATGTTTTGATGTTCATAGGCTGGCAAGTAATTGCTGCGATGGCAGTGTGATGCTTTATCGAATAAATGAGGAAGGAGAATCGCAACTCACAGGACAGAGTTAGAATACTTAGTAAGTTGGACCACCTCCTTTTTAAAATCTATTTTAAAGACTTCATGGCTGAGCATTGAGATATTAAGGTACAAGTAGCTTGTCTGTCTCGGTTGTGTTCAGAAATACAAGCTTTTACGCCACCACCAGGCACTTTTCATTTGTTATCCATTTCTTTGAAACTAATGTAGTAGTGTCATTGGTTTTTCACTTTAAAAAAAAATGTATTTTCACGTGTGTGACGTGCAACACTTAAAAAGTACTGCGTTTTATAATTCATAGATTATGAATGTGGAAAGAGATAGGGAGCAAGTTTTCAAGAATATTATTGAAGAAGCATTCAGGAAGCATTTTAGTAGTGCCTCATCCTTTTTCGTTTCTCTGTGCCCCAACCTCAGAATGCTTGACAAAAGAGAGAGATTTCAGGTGTGAAGATGTGTTTAGAGTATACGTTCGGTGACTTTTGCATGTTTGCTGCAAATCCCATGGCATTGTACTTCCCAAGACACCTTTTGATACAAAATATTGGTTCAAAAACAGTAACTTAAGCTGCAGTGAATGCAGATGATTAACTTGCATGTGGAATATTTGTCATCAGTTAGAACGAAAGTCATTAGAATGCGATAGCTAGAAGATTTATTTCTGTTTTACCATCTGTAATACTAGTGTCTCGAAACCTTTAGGTACTTAAAAGCTGTCCAATTTTTATTTAATCAATTAAAATTTTTGCATTTCTTAACAACTAGAAAATGCTATTCAAGGACCATGGATCTGTTGAGTAGAAGTTGTTATATAAATCGGGAGCAAAGGTTAGTTAGTGAAATGAGAAATGTTTGGAATGAAGCACTGAATAAGCATAGACCCTGTCAAAATTGTTTTTGCTTCCGATTAGCAAGCATAGCATGCAGTCAGTGAATTTTCATGAAACTTGCTTAAATACAAAATGGCTAAAATGTGTTGCTGTTGTGTTAAAGTTGGCGCTGGCAATACACTAAAAAATAAACTTTAATGTGCTTTTCTTGCATAACTTTTTTGGTTGTAAAGATGAATGTGATACAAATATTCCAAAACCTGGTCAGATTTCTTACAGACACCATGTTCCTGCAGCCATGCTCTTGTGTTTAAATGTGTATCACTGATATGTTTTGAGTTTCACAGCCATGTCAAGAAATTTCATGGTGAATTAGGGCTAGTGTGAAAGCAGGTGTCTGAAGAGTGGAGCAAAACTATGTGGATAACCCAGCTGAAAGAAAGGCTGCTACCCTATTTGATGCCAGAAAGTCCACATGGAAAAAAACCCAGTATAATTATATCAACCATGGAAAAAGTCTCAATAAAAACTTCCATATCTTTGCACATCAGTCAATCAGCAGTAAGAGACAATCACAGGAAGTCAGAGACAGTCATAGGAAATTGAAATTCATTCATTCTTATGTTCACAGACCAGTATTTGTCTCCGAATTATAATTGGTGTATTTTTGTGAAAAGCATTGGTGATTTTGTTCCTTTTGTGAAGTGCACCATGTAACAGAATCAATATGCTAGTTTGAACCGTGGGCCAAAGATTAAGCTGGTATGGAACTGCAGATGGCATTGCTAATGTTGCATCTGGAAGGATGTGTTTGAAAAATTATGCAAATGAAATAAGGATAAAAAAAGTGTTTCATGCACTATTGCTCTCATTCAATACCCTTCATGAGGACTGAACTTGCCAAAAATGGAGGAAATAGCATAAACCAGTTGGGTTTCTTTTGTAAAGGGTGGGGGTTTTTTGGTTGGGGGTTTAGGATTCTTTTTGGATTTTGGAGTGCAGTAAAAGCCCTAAGATCTATTGTGTGTGCTGTCCTCTGATCCTGGGATCCTTATGTTGCAGTGACCATCTTTTTGATGGTCTTTCAGAAAATGAATGTGGGATGACAAAGCTGCCTCTGAAATATGTTGTAGATGCTGCGGGGAGTTTACAAATTCTGGATAATTCAGCATTTCACATTGACTCTTCAGGTCACTGAGAGCAAGTAAAAGAGATCAAATTTGACAAGTAATTTAATATTTTCTGCATGATGTAATTTCTCGACTTCTGAATGGATTTTCTGGGTTTTTGTGTTTTGTTTTGTTTTGTCTTCACTGAACTCTCAATACCTGTTGTAGTTGGAAAAAATCCTTGAGTTCTTACATGGTAAACCTCTGCATCTCTGGTGGTCCCATATTAGTTAAAAGACAGCAATAGGCTCTTCTGAGGTGCCATTTGTTATGTCTGGAGTGATGAATTGCAGTTTCTTGGTCTTCTGCAGTGTGTGTACTAGACCTGAGCTAATATAAAGCTGGATAGATACTATTAAAAATCTGGTCTATGCTGGCTTTCACACATGGTGCACTTTCTGTTTAGACTAACTCTGGAGTTTCTCCTGTTTCTTGTCTTTTCTTATTTCTGTATTTTGAAACAGGTCTAATGAATAATACAGAGTAGTATAATACACTCTGAAAGTAGTAGTTGCAAAATACCTGCCTACTTTCTTTGCAAGGCTGTTTGCACGTGTGAGACATTGTGTTGTCTTCATTGCTGGGCAAATCAGTAAGACCTGCGGTGGTGTTCCGAACATCAGTTTAGCAAACCTGGCGGGAAATGTGGCTTCCATGAGGACTGCAGAGGGATCCAAAGCACAGTTGTCTCTTGCTGTCTAGGTCTTGCTGCCTAGACTGGTTTCAGTATTATTTCTGCATTAAGTATGAACTACATTCTGTTCAATAAACATCACCATATGTACATCAACAGTTGCTATGCAACAATGCTATTTGTGCTTCCAGTCATTTTATTTTATCTTTGTCATCAGCTATCATAGCTGTAATTTTGGGGGCGGGAGGAAAGGAGAGCGTTTGACATATATTTCAATGTGTTGTATTGAACAAAATGAATTTTTTTTGTGTGTATATAGCTAAGAACTATCTAGGGGCAAGTGATGGGTTTGATATAGGGTGTGTTTGGTTAAAATAGGTTTTTTTTCTCAGCTTCCTACTGGCAGACACCCTGGCATAAGGAAGTGCTATAATTTGACAGTTTCTTTCTTGGTTGAAGGAATGGGAAAATGCTTTTGTTAAACATTTAACAACAAACTTTTCTGATTGTGATTATAAATTAATTCCCTTACTGCTTTAATTGCCTGATCCTTAATTTTTCTGCCAGCAGGTAGTTTAGTATTACTGGCTCGAAATATAAATAAAAAATGCAGCTATGTTATAGATAATGATAAAAGTTTCTTACTGAGCTTATTCTCGGAAAAGTGTGCTACTAATGTGACTAGGGAAAACACAGACCTTGGCAGGCAATTGCACCCCTAACTGTAAAGGACTGATGGGTGGAGAGGAAGATTTTTACACTGTAGGCACAAATAAAGTATAAGATATTTCTGTAAATTTGGGTGACATGACTCATTTTATTGAAATTTTGAATATATCACAGCTCCCCCTTCATAAGTGGGATTGCCTTAATGCCTGTTTTAGTAACTTTAAATTCCTTCATGCTTGTTCCATCTTATTGAAAGTAAAAAGTGTTTAGAGAATTCCATTGACAGAATGACTACCAGACCTTTGTTTCTGAGCAGCATTCATGCATGGATTGTTTCACTGTTTCACGCTTCACAGAAGATTGCTACCTCTTAACATTGTGTTCTTCTCCAGTTTTCTGAATCTTCTTTCAGAATCTCAATGAAATTTTTTTTGTTGTTGTTGTATTCCGGTTCAATAATACACATAACTGCCTATATACCTTAGAACAGCTCCTTTATTGCCACAGCTCTTGAATATTCTCCCCTTGTTTGGGATGATTTTGGTTTTTTCCTTTATACAGCTTCTCATGTATGAAAGGACCTTTTCTGAGTTTGTCCATGGATCATGCTTACTATATAACTTACAATTGTATTGTGATTGTATTTCAGTGAAAATGAATATTCAGAGCTTTGTATTCTGTATTTTGTGTATTTGTATTTTGAAATATCAGGTATACCCAGCCATTTAAAGAAATGCGAAGGGAAGAAGCACTAATAAAAATCCTGGAAAGATGTTTCTTTCATTAAGGCAGCTACTCTTATAATTATGTTTAATTATTTCCAGCAAAAATACTTAGCCCTCAGAATCTTGATGCCTTGTGATAGTACTTCTGATCTTATTAGATGAATGTTTGACTTCCCAAATCTTTCGTCAAACTCTTATTTAGGAAATAAACGCCCTCCCTCATCGTTCTGCCATCTTAGCTCTGCCTGCTGAGGAGTTTTGACGTATAGCTGTCTACTTTAACAGTACTTTCCTCTTGTCTCTATTTGTTCAGGCTGTCACTTAACCACACATTCTGGTCTCCAAAATGCTTTGGGTTCTTACTTAATGCTTCTTTGTTCCTTTATGTGCTTCATTCTTTTATGAACTGCTGTTAGCAGAAGAGGAAAACCTATCAGCAGCTTCAGGATCAAAAGAAACAGAAGCAACAGCAGCCTTTCAGATCTCGGGCATTTATGCAAATTTCCAAATATTTGTGAGGATCATAAAGAAGATGCAACCCATGATCAGAAAAGCAGAATATGTGACTCAAGCTAGTCTAATTACAGACAGCATTTTGACGGGTCAAGATTTTGTACATGTTATTGGGACATACGGTTCATTTAGAAAACAACTGCGACTGCGTATATCATCTCTCTTATCCATCTCTAAAAAAAATGAAAATTATATTTATTTACTTACTTCATATGAATGTTGTGAGGATTAACAAATTACTGTAAAATGGGGTCAGCTGGCTAGCAGGGGTAAGCTAGTTTTCATTTTTGTTATTAAAACTACAGACTGTTAATTCCTGTACAAATTTAAACAATTGAGGATATAATGCACAAAATATATGGGATCTTAGCATGTGCTCGGTGTTATGGGAATAGAACTGGCTTTCTGCCTACTTCAGTGACTTACTTTGTTTCTTTCAGTCTCACTGATGTATGTGTAAAAATAAGACCCCCTCCCTAGCCACCCCCCCAAAAAACCAAAAAAACAACAACAAAAAATACAACAAAAAAACCAATAACCAACCAACCAGCCCCAACCTGTTGATATTTATCTGTGAATCTTGCATGTTGTGGAGGAGGCTGAGCAGCTGTAGTCTACATTGAAAAATATATTGAGAAGACATAGTACAACTTCCTTTACTTTCTTCATTATATTAGTACTGAGAAGATTTTTGAAGTAGATACTTGTGACCTAATAATAACAAAAAGAAGTTTTCTAATGATGAGGAAAAAAACCCAACACTTTTTTGCAAGGCTTGAATTTTGTCAGGGTTTTTTTTTTTGGCTCTGCTATTGAGAGCATATGTGTTGCAAACACACACACACTGCCCCTATAGACATGATACACATTGTTATTTGAATCAGACATGCCATTAACAATTTTTAAGTGTGATGTCTTATGCAGCAGTTTTGGCTAGGTAGGTAGTCTTTTCATTGAAACAGAGTTAAAAGGAAACAGCTTTAAATCCAGCTGCCTCTTACATCTCAGTCCGGGCAGGGGTTGATATCTTAGTATATTTGTGTGTTCTTCGTTGTGTCCTCTTTGCTTGTGTGTGTACTGAATGTTTCCTTAATTAAGTTATGACTGAGTTGGAGTATTTGTTGGGTAATAACATTGTGCTGTAAATGTGCTAAATACACACCAAAAAAAAAAGTCAATGAGAAAATACATACTTTTCTGCAAACAGGCTGTCCTGTCTGTATATCTGAAAGTTGGCAGGGATTGTAACTTGCTTTGTGAATGCTGATGGGTGCGAAGAGGCCATATAATGATGTATTCTCAGTTTTGTCAGTGAGAAAGCACATGCCTTCAGCTGCTAAGACTAATGACAGCCACCAGTAAAGAAAGAAGGATCTGTGAGATACTGGTTTTTCCATTTGCATTAGTCCTCAGGCTGTCAGCCATCTCGATGCGTAACCAGGGCCATCAGTCATGAAACCCAGCAACAATCAGTGGCAAGGAAAAGGTTTTGTAAAATCTTCCATGTTTGCAGTTCTGTTAATACCCAACCTTTAAATGGCAGAAGTGATCAAACTAACTGAACTCAAAAATTATTGCCTGAGTTAGAGCAGTAATTCACTCTGGCCTGTAAGTAGTCTGTAACGATAGCTGTTGACATCTCTGAGTTGAAAGCTAAGGACACCTATTTTAACATTTTTAACTGTATTTTCACGTATGTGAAAACATTCTTTTTATTCTCTACCATAGAAGACACGTAAAAAGTAGACATACAGGAGGAGCTGTCAAATTTCAGGTTGACATTTTATGTAGGGGTTTAATTTCATAGGACTTGGTAAGTGTTAGAACTCAGTTTACCAAAATACATCCGCCGGCTGCCATCTCTTGAAATGCTGGATTGGAAATTCATGCAGAAAGCTGTTTCTGAATCTGACTCTGCCATTCACCCGAGTGATAATTTTTTGGCAAGTCACTTCACAACACTTGTGTCTACGTTTTTCCTTCATACATGCTTTGAATCTCTACTCTGTCGAACAGGAGACGTTTCTGATTATGCATATTTTTTGTACCTGACAAGTTGGGCTATAGTGTCATTTCAGGGCTAAGGATTTAGAAAGGGAAAAGATTGAAGAAATAAATTCTTGCGTGATCTGCAGAAAGGCTAGAGAAGAGGTCGATCGAGTTCAAAAATTTACCTAATGCCAATTAAGAGCATTCTTCTGCAGAGCCTTGATTTTTTTTTTTTTAATATGCAAAAATAATAGTCATTTGTTAGAGTGACCAGTGAGATACATGGATGCTATTAATTGCTTAAGTATAATGGTACTACGGGTATTCTATAGATAGATGTGCAACTTCATTCCTGCAGAGCTCAATCAAAGATGTAATGGAGTGCTGTCATTTAAGTTGTGAGTTTGGGCACTAAAGGAGATTTTTTTTTTGTTGCTCCCTGTGGCAAATTATTCTTCAGAAAGTAAATTTATAAACATTAATTCAACCCAGTGATTGTGATTTTGTCATAATTTGTCATTCTTTACTTTGCAACCCACTTTTTAGATGGAATTTCAAATAATCAACACAGAAACATTGTTTCCTTTTTTGTTCATTTATTTTTTTTTTTTCCAGAAGGCCAACCAGAAGATAAATCTGAAAGCGGCAGCACTGGTGAGTGCGGACACTTTCTTTGAACCACTTAAGAAATTGCTTGTGGCTGCACCTTTTCAGTTTTACTTTTCAAGAAACTAGTAGATTAAAAAAAAAGGAGTATTTTTGTTTTATTTCTAGGGTAGAATATCATAAAATTGAAAAATGACTTCATAAACTGATTGTCTGCTGTAACCAAAAGCTTAAATTATTGATATTTTTTATTAAAATGAAGGGGTAAAAATTATGAGGGATAGTTTTAGAAATGTCATGTTCTTTTGAATGTTATTTTTTTTTCCTCAAATCTTGGTTTGGGTTTTTTTTTTTAGTTTCATTGTCTGTATGTTTTAGTTTGAATTCTTTCCTCTTGATTGGAAAGTTTCTAGCAAATTTCCAAATCTTTTGTTATTTGATTTTAATTGTATAGACTAAGCAGTCAGAAAAATAGTGTTCTAGTATTGTACTTTCTTCAGTTTTTCTAATGAAAAAATCTTTCTTCTGGAAGAGTTATAAATGGTTAGTTCACTGATATTACCTATCAGTTACATATTAGTCAGTCCAATGGTGTCTTAAGTACAGTTAGAAATTCTAAGGGGGCTTCTCAAACTGCAATTGCTATAATGAAAATGTTGGGCTTTTTTACACATTTCAGAGTACTAAATAGAAATAATTGCCCTTCAATGAGTATTTTTTTTGTGTGAAATGGGCAACGTGCTTCTAAAAGATAGATTCCTAAGGCCACCTGATATCCTAAAGATTTTATTTCCAGTCCAAGCTAGTCTGCGCAGGCTTCCTTTACAGTCACAGAAGGAGATGATTCCGTAAAGTCGTATTCTAACATACGTGTGTGGAATTCCCCAGCCACTCGAGCACAGCTCTCTTGAGGCTATACGTTCCTAGCCTGCTCCCTTCTCTGCTTTTAAAGCCTTTCACAGAATCACAGAATTTTCAGAGTTGGAAGGGACCTCTAGAGATCATCTAGTCCAACTCCCCTGCTAAAGCAGGATTGCCTAGAGCACATTACTCAGGACTGCATCCAGGCGGGTTTTGAAAATCTCCAGAGAAGGGGACTCCACAACCTCCCTGGGCAGCCTGTGCCACTGCTCTGTCACCCCAACTGTAAAGAAGTTTTTCTGTGTGTTGGAACGGAACTTCCTATGTTCCAACTTGTGCCCATTGTCCCTCGTCCTCTCACTGGGAACCACCGAGAAGAGTGTGGCTCCACCCTCCTTCAACCCACCCTTTAGATATTTGTAAGCAATAATAAGGTCTCCCCTCAGCCTTCTCTTCTCCAGGCTAAAGAGTCCCAGCTCTCTCAGCCTTTCCTCATAAGGGAGATGCTCCAATCCCTCAATCATCTTGGTTGCCCTTTGCTGGACTCTCTCCAGCAGTTCCCTGTCCCTCTTGAACTGGGGAGCCCAAAACTGGACACAGTATTCCAGTTGGGGCCTCACCAGTGCCGAGTAGAGGGGGAGAATGACCTCCCTTGACCTACTGGCCACACTCTTCCCTATGCAGCCTTACGTTACTGAAATTCCCAGATGGGTACAGAACAGCAGGAGAACTTTACAGTGTCAAGTAGTGTTTAATAAAAATCCCCTTTCCTGCTTTTATTAAAGAGATGTTTCAAAAATATCATTAACATACTACTGCAAATAAGTACCAATGTTAGCAAGAGCCTGCGAACCTGGGAAACTAGGCAAAGCTAATACAAAATATATAGACAAATCTCAGTCTTGTTAGTAGAGGGATTACCTCTGATGCACGCAGATTAAATACTATTGGGACTGGGCTGGCAGTCATAAGTGGTAATGGCAGAGATAGTAGATGGACTGGAAAGAGTCTCATGCCCCTGCCTTTGTTCAAAAGCAATTCCTAAACATAAGACTAATGCTAGTGGGTTTTCAAAATGTTGTCTTGAAAGTAATTTTTCAGACACTTTAACATGGAGATGTCTGTTTATTCTAATATTTGACTTTTATTTGAATTGCATTTCAGCATCAAATGTTGTCAAAAGTGTATACTTTGTGTCTGACTAGGAGTAGGGTTTGGGTTTTGTTTGTTGTAGGAGGGAATTCTTTGTGATATTGAGATGCCTTTTATTACACTGGCTTAAGCATGTCCAAAGCCCAATGTTAGAAATGTTATAGTCTGTAGACTTCTACTGAATTCAAGGTGTGTTTTATAGCTTGCAGTTTTTCTCAGTTACTTGTTAAAACCTGTTCACTCTGATTATACCTTAATTGTGGTGCAGGTTTAAGGTTATGAAAGGCTACTTTCTAGAGATTAGCATTTTATACCACTTGAAAACTGAGACTGGCTGTTGTACGATGTTGCATGTAAAGCAGATCTTGAGAGTTTAACTGCTGAAATGAATCAGAATTTTGATACTTACATTGCATTTCTCGATGTTCTTTACTTGTAGGGATGCACCCTCGGTTTTGCTCGGCTCTTGGGTTTTTTATTCTGTTTCGGTCTGTGTTTGAATGATTGAATTGTCTGCTCTTCGCTCTTGGTGTCTTTCTCCTTCCTCGTTCTGCAAATATTGTGTAAGATGGCCACGTGTTTAGTTGTTTGGATTTTTGCTTCAGTCAGAAGAATGAGTTACTGTATGTTGTGAGCTGTTGAAATACACTGACAAGTGCTAAACCCGTGTGAATGAATCAAGCTGGTTGTGGATTCTGTTTCTGAGTGGTGCTGGTTGGTTACACCGGGGCATTTAAAGGAGGAGTCTCAGCCATCAGTGGTGCTTATTTGCTTATTCACTTTTTTTTTTCAAAATCATCGTGGAACTCAGATGGCATTTTCCAAACTACATCTCAAGTAATTCAGGTTATTGAGTGCTCCATTTTGCTGTTGATCTGCTTTATCTTGAGTTACAATAAGTACTTTTGAGGCAAAGACAATGTCTTTTATGTATTTATGTGGCATTTTACCATAACAAGACCCTAATGAATGCTTTTAGGTATTACTGTAATAAAAATATGTGAGGTGTATTTGTAGTTAGAAAGTTAATAAAGGAAATGAATGAGACAACATTCAGAAATACTTTGACTTATGTCCTTAAAAATCTCCCCCCCATTTTTACATTGGCAGGGTACTGTCAGTCTTCAGAATTTATGTCCTACAGTGTTAATCATATATGACATTTTTAATCACATTTATTGATGGGTCAGTTGTAAACCACTTGCCAAAAGGCAAGGTGTTACCAGTGTTCCCAATCTGCTAGATACTATTTGGAGGGAGACAAGTGGTCAGACCAAAGATCATCTAGCTGGTGTCCTGTCCTCACTGGTGACCAATTGCAGATGCCTTGAGAAGTGTATAAGAACAACACAGCAGCATAGTAGTACCTCTCCAAAATAATTCTTCCAGCCTTTAATGATTCACAGCTCAGAGAGATCCAGACACAGATGTGATGGTGTTTTATTTAACAGACCATCATGGATTTTCTTTCTGTGAAGTATCCCTGTTGGGTTTTAAGCCCATGTAAACCTTTAGTGTTCATAACATCTTGAATGATGCTATGGTTACAGTCAAAATATTTAGGAGTTAAGGCATACCCGAAACAAGTTTACCTAAACTAAATTTGGGCTCCTTTTGCATATGCATTTTGGTAATTTTAGATCACTTTTTCCATACAAAAGCCCTATTTGATTAGTGCATGTGATAAACAGTGCTCAGGGATTCAACCAATGTCATGTAGTGCCTGAAGGCTGCTTTCTGTTAAATGTGAAAGGGGTGTAGCAAATTACACACTCAGCTAAAGGAAAAGAGAAATGAGAACTGGCTCTTCTTGTTCCTGTATGATGCTGAGCAAGCGATGCAAACCCAAATATCTGTATGTTGCCCCTGTTTGCTTATGGCTTTGCTTGCACCTACCTGTAAGTGCTGTTGTGGTTACAGAAGCTGTGAAAATCAAGCATTTCTGCCAGTTAAAGTGTGACCTTCCTGCCTTCCCCCAGATAAAAAATACCCAGAAGCTGCTGCCATGAGCCTTTGTAGTCTGTTGAGAATGATATGGTAAAGAAATGCGTTCTCATGTAAGAGCAAATGTAATTAGATACTGTCCTTGTGGAAGTGTATTAAATGAAAGTTGCATGGGCAGCAATTGATTATAATGTTGCCTAAGCTTTGAGGAAGTAGTTTTGAAAGCGCAGTATTGCTTTTTTGGGGGGGCTATGTATCAGCTCTGTACACAAACTACAGATGCATCTTTTTAATCAAGAATGTGTACGTCAGGGAGTGTTAACGTGTAACCTGCTAGTTGAAATTCCTGAACCTACTTCAAGTCAATTGAAGTCCTGTTGTATCCAAATTCCAGCTCTTAAAGTCTTGAAGTTTATAGCAAATAGCAGCCTTCAGTACTTAGCATGCTTTAGGACAAGGTGTTAGTCATCTCTCAACCTGCCAGTGAGTAATACAAATGACTTCTAGCGAAGGGAGAGGCACTATTGGGACCATTTCTGATTTGACTTTGTGTAAGAGGAATAAATAATCTGAGTTGCTGCAGACAATATAGCGTGAACCTAGTACTAAAATTTTGCCAATTGTGAAGGTACATGTTTGACAGCAGACACAAATATACAACACTTGAATTGTCCATAGATCACACTTGCTTCATTTTTTGATGTTGCAATAAAAAAAAAATCAGGTGTTGATTATACATATGTTGGAATATTTGAAATTCAGTGTAAGCACTTTGATAAACACTGAACTACATGCGGTAAAATCAGCAAGTTTTTGTTAAAGGCACAGAGTTCTTATGACACAGAACTGTATAAAGATGCTAAATGCACAATTGATTTCATCCACTTTAAAGCACTTAACATATATTAATTATACTGCAAAAGTTAAATTCTAACTGAGTTCTTATGACACAGAACTGTATAAAGATGCTAAATGCACAATTGATTTCATCCACTTTAAAGCACTTAACATATTAATTATACTGCAAAAGTTAAATTCTAACTGAAAAATTATCATCATGAGGAATAAAATAGTGATTTGTAATTTAAATA